TCAAAACTGGAAATAACCCAAGTGTCCAACAGTGAATGAATAAACAAAATGTGGTATATAAACATACAACAGAATATTATTTTCAGTCATTAAAAAAAAAAAAATCGAGCCTGGGCATGGTGGCTCACACCTGTAATCCTAGCACTGTGGGAGGCCAACGCAGGAGGATTGCGTGAACCCAGGAGTTCGAGATCAGCCTGGGCAATAGCAAGATCTCATCTCTACAAAAAATAAAAAATATTAGCCAGGCGTGGTGGTATGCGCCTGTAGTCCCAGCTCCTTGGGACGCTGAGGCAGGAGGATCCCTTGAGCCCAGGAGTTTGAGGTTGCAGTGGGCTATGATGATGCCACTGCAGTCTAGCCATGGCGACAGAGTGAGACCCTGTCTCAAAAAAAAAAAAAAAAAAAAGATAAAGATGCTAGCTTTGGATTGGAACTGAGAATGAGTGAATTTGGAAGCTACAGAATGGACAAAGAGAAAGTTAGTGTGCAGAGATGAATGTAGCTTAAGAGAGGAAAAACTGAGAAGAGTTGCTTGGATTCCTGCTACCTTTCCAGTCCTGATTCTACTCAGTCTCTTAGAATACCCAACCACTCTTTCTGCCTTTGGGGTCTATAGTCTTAATATAAATTACTTTTTTGAGCCAGATGCAGTGGCTCACACCTGTAGCCCCAGCTACTCAGGAGGCTGAGGCAGGAGAATCACTTGAGCCCAGGAGTTTGAGACCAGCCTGGTCTCAAAGCGAGACCCCTGTTTCTAAAAAAATGAAACCTTAAACAATTAATAAATTACTTTTTTCAGTGGCCTACCAAGGGTGGTAGGAGAGATCAAAGCTGGGTACATACAATAAGGGTGTGAATTTGATAATACAAAGCAGACTGACTTTTAGTTCATTTTATTATTGCTTTAAATTCTCTAAAATGCTGGTGATAAAATACTCCACCCTGCCCTCCTCCACGCAACACTGCTTTTTGCATGAGCTAGTCCAGTTCTGTTAGATACAACCAAAGAATGTTAAATACAACCAAAAATAATGATCTTGGTCCAACCAACATCCAAAGAGAAAATAGTAAAAGAAATCAGAGTTGATAAACACTCCCACTTCTTCTGAATTAAAATCAGTTACTGATTGAGGTTATTAATTCAAAGAAATAAAATTTCCTTTTTTAGGTGAAAAAAATGATTAAAAGAAAAAGTAGAGTATGAATTTTTTTTTTTAATTTAAGGTTCCTACATTTATTTAAGGGAAGCAATTTGATATGGGTCAGTAAATGAATGATCACTGTGAGGACTGAGCCATTAACATTATACACATAATAGAGTCCAATAAAGATCTGCTGAACTGAAGTATTCCTAAGACTTAAGCCCTTGGACCTCAATGTTCTATATATAAAATCAGTTAGAAAATAGAACTGAAACATTAGAGCTATTTTATAAAGGCTTACAGGAAAAATTTTACACAAGAACAACTAATATGACGGATACAAATTCAAAACACAGATTGGTTCACAAAGATGAATTAGGATTCATAGAGTTATGATTGGCCATCTGCAGAATTTCAAAGTTTCTTATCTGAACCAAGAAGAAAGAATCAGGATTTACATGTGAAAGTAACTCATAGCCGGTATGATCATATTCTCTGAACCAACATAAAGCCCACCAGGAGTGTCCTAAAGTTAGTATTTGCGGTCATAGTAACCACCCCGATTTACAATATGTCTGATTAATCAGTCTTTCCACTGCCTCTGTTCAACAAGTGTCCACTGAGCACTTTCAATGTACAAGGCATATTCTGGGCAATGACGATATAATGGTGAATCATGTGGATACTGGCCCTGAATTCCCAGAGTCAAAATCTAGCAGAGGGACCATGAAACAAAGAAATTCAACAATGTACTCTACAGGTTAATTTCCAGGGATACATAGGTATCCTGCAGCAACACAGAGCAAGGGGCACCCACCTTGGTACCTAATTTAGGTTCCCAAAGGAAAAGTTAAGATTTAGCCAGGCGAGCAGACATGGGATGGGAGGGAGAACCAGGAAAAAGAAACAGCAGATGCAAAAGGCCTACATGCAAGATTCAAAATCAAAGAACTGAAAGAGTTCAGTATGGCTGGGATGGAGAATATGAGGGAGAATGTAGGGATAAAGTCTGAGAGGTAGGCAAGGATGGAGCCAAGAAGGGCTTCATAAACCACTTTAAAAGGCCTGGATCAGATATTAAGGGCAACAAGAAGTCAATGAAGGACTTGATTCCAGTGTGCAGAGTGGAAGAGAGAAGCAAGACTAGAGGCAAGAGACCAGTTAAGAGGCTCTTCCAGTCATTCAGGAAAGAGACTAAAATGGTTTGATTTATGAAGTAGCACTGGAGATGAAGGTCTCTGGACAGATTCAAGAAATACTTAAGAACTAGAACTGATAACATATGACAGAATTCAGAACCTAAAAGAGAAAGAAGAGTTGGTAAACAGGTGGTTATCAAAAAAACTAGCATCACATACTAAACCAGAAAGTACTCTAGATCAGCACTGTACAACAGGACTTTCTGATAGAAATATTCTGTATGTGTACTGTCCAATAGCCTCCTATCCACATGTAGCTACTGAACACTTGAAATGTGGTAACACTGAGGAAATGAACTTTTAATTTTGTATAACTTTAATTAATTTAAATTTAAATAGCTACAGGTGGCTACTGTATTAGACAGTTCAGCTCTAGACTGAGACACCTAACCTAAAATAATATGACAGGGTTAATAAGTTTACATGACAGTCTATGACAGAGACAATAAGAATGTGAAAAAAATCCCCTCAGTTGGAAAGATGTTCAAGATGTATTAACAAATGTATATTTCAGAATAATATGCACAGCAAAATTGCATTTTTCAGTTTAAAAAAACTGTCTAAATTTATGCAAAGAAAATAAATTGGACAACCATGAATCAAACAGTAGTTATCTTTAAGATGAAGGGTTATAGAGACTTTTTGTATTTTGTTACATGTTACTGAATTTTTTTTTTTTTTTTTTACAACAAACATGCCTTACCTTTCTATCTGGGGGAAAAATAGATTTAAAATAATTTCCCACTAAACCAAAAAGTGTCTACAAATGTAACTTACTTATCGCACAAATACCTATAATGCCATTATTACAAGATGTCCAGTATAGTCACAGTGATAGGAAAATACAGCAAAAATTTATACTGTACTTCAGAATAGCTTCTAACAAAAACATTATGACTTCTCTGTAAGACACAACCTGAGAATAGGACATTTTGGGGAGAAACACATCAATAAGCTTCAGGTTCCCACAATGATCTGCAGATACTATAAAACCAGTGTTTTATAACCAAATTATACCCTTTCTGTACTATGAGATGTGCCCTTTAGGGTCATACACTTAGAAGACAAAATCTGACACAAATACATTCATATCTATATCAAATATAAAACGATCTCATTTATCCAAGACCAGGATATGGGGTATTTCTCATAAATAAATTCTGTTAATATCAGTAATTTAATCCTTTAAGCACCAACCCTTTTTACTTTGGAAGGATTTTTCCTAAAAAGTATCTATGTGTCTGTACCCTCTTAAACCAATACTACAATTTAATCTTTACTTGACATTTTGGGGCCATTTCTTGAACATCAATTATCAGTTCCACATTATTATGAACACCAATTACCAGGATTTAGTGGAGGAATATATGTCACTTTATCAAAGCACCCTTGACTGCTATATAGTGAATCTGCCTATTTTTGTTTTGTTTTTTAATACATACATAACTTTTTATTTCCTCTATCAGGTTGCCAGTGTTCACTGGCTACAATCCGGATGCCCTAACCAGGCTTTCTTCTAACATGTGCTGCCTTTTAGTTTCAGCCTGAGAAACCATAAAAATACACAAATTAGAACCACAGGTAAAATGAATAGAGTTGCTGAGTGAGCACTAGAGGCTTACCTACAAGAAATAATATGTATTTTATGCCATTGGTTTCAGGTGCTGAGGACTATTTGGCTTTTTACTAGCTTTTCTCCCTAGTATTAATGAGTTAAGGCCCCTCTACAACTCTCATTAAACTCCAGACAAGTCGGGTGTTGCCGATCTAACACAGTGATTTCTGGTTGGGTCTGTCTCCACCACTCATAAGTGCAAAAAGACACCAGGGAGGTGGGTAGGGGTTGTCAAAATGTCCAGTGAACGACAAATGTAAGTTTTTCCCCATGTACCCTTAGCAGAAAAGTAGCAATAACAAATGCAACCTTCCCCATGGCCATGCTAATGTAAAAAACCAAAAAAGAAAAAAAAAAAAACAAACAAAAAAACAGCTGCCACTAAAATTTACTAAACGAGCCTGCCGCGTTCTCGGCTCTATGTAGAAACTCATTTAAGCAGTTCATTTCTTGCTAGCTCTGACACGGGAGCAGATACAGGCTAGACGGGTTCTTAAAGTCATCCCAGCGTAAAAATTAAGCTACAACACGAGATCTTACCTCTAAAAGAGAGGAGTGTGCAATACAGGAGTTAGAGTTAACTTCTGTGCAAGCGAGCGAGCACTCCCCCTACACACCGGAAGTTTTGAAATATCCTGTAGGGTTCCCACAGGCAAAGTGGTTTTCCCTCCCCACGGCTCCGCGAGCCCGCCCCAAGGTTCAAGGACCTCTCCGAGTTTGCGGTGCGCGGGGCTCGGGTCCCCGGCTGTGCCACGCACCGGGGGCGAGGCCGTCAATCCCAGCCTGGTCCTCCAGACCTAACCTTGGACGCCACGAACTGCGACTCGGGCAGGTGGGAGGCACCTGCGGCCGCGTCCCCGGCCAGCCGCGGCCCGGGCAGGGGTTGTCCCGTCTCCGGCTGGCGGAGGCCGCGGGAACCGTCTACGGCCGCGCAAGCCCGCGAGACGGACCCGCGTGGGGGCCGCGCGGCGGGGCCAGGCCCTGGGGCTCGGCAAACTCGGCGGCCCGCCCGCCTGGCCCGCCCCCGACGTCGCCACTCACCGAAGAAGCCCTGCACGATCCCAAGCGGGTGGCTGAGCCAGTCTTCCCCACAGGGCATCTCGCCGAGGGCCGGGGACGGCGCGGCCCGGGTGGCCGGCGCCCAGCTTCTCCTCAGGAGCTCGGCCGCTCCTCGCCCGCGCCCTCCCACGCACAGCGGGGCGCGGGCCGCCCGGCCTCCTCGTGCCTCAGAGAGCAGCGGCTGCGGCGGCAGCCGCCGAGGAGCTGCTGGAGGCCGTCAGGAGCGGCGCGTGCAGCCCCCAGCCTCCACTTCGCACAATGGCGGGAAACAGCCGCTGCCGACCGCGCTGCCTGCGACCTGGGTGGAGCTCGTGTGGGGAGGGGCGGCGGGAGCGCGCTGCGCGGCCCCGCGCGGCGAGGAGGCGGGGCGGCTGGCTCGGGGGCGGGGCCGCGACGCCGCGGCCGCCATCTTAGAGACGGGCAGTAGGAAGGGCAAGCGCTTCTGCGGGGAGGCTGTCTCGCGTGGAGACTGGCGTCGCGTACCGGAGGGGGCGTGTTGCTGTTTGTCGCCCTTTGCAGGCGTGGAAGGGGAAACTACTGTAGTCGGCTTATTAATTCATAGTGCGAGTACTTGCACAACAGCCAAAAAGCACAAACTCAAAAGAGACCTCAGCGTCCTCTCTGGGCTCTATTAGTGGGTGAAGCCGCCTTTGGTGTCCACCCACCTCTTCTTCCGTGCCTTTTTTTTTTTCCTGGTGGCAACTCTTTTATATGGCGCCCTGCCAAAACTCCCTGTGGTGACTTTCCCTCGTCTGGATAAGATCTCCCTGAGGGAGGTATACATTTAGATCAGGGGAACTTTTAAAGGCCCCACGTCCCCTTTGCAGTCGCATCGGGTATTGTAGGAGAGGGACTGGTTCCTAATTGGGAAGTGAGCGCTCATAGACTCACCGCTGGCCCAGCGCTGTGCTGCCAACTGTGAAAACACATCCCGGCCTGTTTCTGCCTAGGAGAAGTGGCAGGTACCTCCACAACATGCGGACCAGGATACCCTCGGGAATGAACATGGGACAGATCAACTCTACAGCAACCTAACTTTCCAAGTCCAAAGATGAAACTCTTTCCGCAGGGCCTGCAATGTACCTAAGAAAACCCCAGTCTCATCAGCTATATCTACTCACCTGGAAAAAGGGCGCGTTAACAGAAGGGGGATGATCTGAATGGCATCTAGAAAGTGGGGAGCTGAAGAACAAGCACTGAACCTGCATCTCAAGCCCTCCTTAGGGGTATAGGCGAGAGGAAAAATCCTACTCTCCTAGGGTTTCCTTTGGGGAGCCCTTAAAACAAGGACATCAAGAGGAAAACAAACAGAAGTTTAGCAACGTGCACATCACGGATATACACGGGAAAAACTCAAGAGTAAATCTAAGAGGTAGCTTACAATTTGGGTTTATACAGTATCTTCAACGAAGAACAATAAATATGTTTATTTATTGGAATGCAGTTTTAGGTTTCCGAAAGCGGCAAACTGTGGGAAGGTAAAGATACTGGGAAACTAATGGTAGATGCCCAGGCTAGTTAGTAAAGTTTGGTGTGTGGATTCTTCTGGTGCCATCTGTGGGCTGATAAGGGTCTAAAGTTATCTCTGATGATTACTTGTTTTCTATTTTTTTAGAGACAGGGTCTTGCTATGTTGCCCAGGCTGGCCTGAAACTCCTATGCTCAAGTGATTCTCCCCCATCAGCCTCCCAACTAGCTAGGACTACAGGCAAAAGCCACTGCTCCCCATTGGTGATTAACTTTTGTCCTTTCTGGTAGAGAGAGGAGGAGGGACACCTTTGAAAATTTATGTCCTGCTTTTAAGCAGATAGTGAAAGGGCAAGGAGCTTTTCTTATACAGATGCTTCTCAATATATGATGGGGTGACATCCCAATAAACCTAACCTGCCAAACATCACACCTTATCCTAGCCAAACTTAAATGTGCTCAGAACACTTATATTAGCCAAACGTTGAGCCAAATCATCTAACGTAAAGCCTATTTTATAGTAAATATTGAATATTTCATGTAATTTATTGAATACTGTACTGAAAGTGAAAAACAAAATGGTTATACCAAATGGGTATTGGTTCCACACCATCAAGAAGTCAAAACATCTTAAATAGAATCATTGTTAAGTTAGGGACCATCTGTATCTACTTTTTCTCAATTGCCTTCAGCTGTATTAATAATTTTTATGCCAAAGTGGTGTATTTTGGGGGTGACATTGTGGTTTACTTTAGGGCAGAATAGAATAGTTTGTATTTCTCATTGTAAATTAATTAATTGCCACACTAAATTGTGCATCTGGTTCCTATAAATTTAGGTGAGTTGAGAAAACAGAGTTTCAAATCCAGGACATTACCACCATTCCATTCATTCATTCATTTAGCACAGAGGGTTGCCAAGTTCCTGGGTTTGTATAGGGAAATCTTGTATTTTAGCTTCATGGCTAGAAATAGGCAAATTAAATGTATGACATGAAAGTGCTTTTAAATGATCATAATTTCAGATTTGCTTTATCTAAATTGCAGATTGATACCAATTCAGCAGTGACTAGTGTAGGGGAGGAAAAATATCTTTTCCTTCTACTCTTCTAGATTCTATGCTGAAGCCCCTGTAACAACAGACAAATTAACAAGAGAAAAGCATAAAAATTTATTTCATATAAGCTTTACAAGAAATCGGAGCCTTCATAAGGAAATGAAGATCTGAAGAAATGGTTAAAGCTGAGCGCTTTTATGTTAGGTTTGATGAGGAGTAGAGCGTCGTGGAAGGATGTGATAGGACAAAAGGTGTGAGCTAAGAGTAGTAAACTGGGGAAAACTTAGCAAGGCCTGTGCATTAGATTCCTCTGTGTCCCTTCATCTTCAGAGATAAGGATGCTCCAATCCTCTTAGAGACAGGGCACTTCTTACATGAGGGTTTTATAACATGCTTCAGGTGAAGAGAGCCCTTTCTGCACATGCTATTTCTCAAATTCCTTCGGCTTAAAATATTTAATATACCAAAGTGCCATAGTCTGGCGTAGCATGTCCTGAACCCCATCACTCGGAATACTTGACCTTTTCAGTTCTCCTTCAGTGTAGAGTGTTTAGTGATTTATACACAAACAGTTGTTCACATTTTACTTAAAGAGACACTGTAACCCTTCTGAAATACAACTATTTTATAATGTGAATAATTTCGCCCTCTAAGTTTTCTGTGGCAAGATGTTTTGATACTATTAATAAGTAGATATGAAAATGAAAAGGGCCAGGGGAGGGTTCATGAAGTTATATCTCTCTGGCAAGATTTTTTTCCCCCACAACCAGTAACCACACTTCTGCTCCCAACCCAAGCCTGTATTTTTAAGGAGGGCATTAAGTGACCCTGACTATAAGGAATTACTGAAAGCATTGGAAACACTGGGGTAAAAAAAGGAGGTTCCGTCCCTGCCCTCGCGGAACACACAGTCCATTAAGGAGACTTACAACTAATTATCTATTTACAATAGGTGGTAGCTGAGCATAAGCGAAGTTCTGTAAGAGGAATAAACAGAGGCATCTGTGCTACTGAGGGGGTGCTGTGGCTTGAATGTGTCCTCCACGGTTCGTGTGTTGGAAACTCAATCCCCAATGCAACAGTGTTAAGAGGTGGGACCTTTTAGAGGTGATTAGGTCATGGGCGCTCTGCCCTCATGAGTGGACTCATTCATTCAATCCACAGGAGTGGAGTGGTTATCGTGAGAGTGGGTTTGTTGTAAAAGCGAGCTCGGTTCTCTTTCTCCCTCTCTCACTCTTTTGCCTTTTGCCGGTGATGACGCAGCAAGAAGCCCCTTGCCAGATGCTGACACTTCGATATTGAACTTCCCAGCCTCCAGAACCGTCAGAAATAAATTTCTTTTCTTTATAAACTATCCAGTCTATGACATTCTGTCAGAGCAATACATCTACAGCCATATGCCACCCTGAATGTGCCCGATCTTGTCTGTTACAGCAACACAAAGTAGACTATGACCAAGCAAGGGGTTGTGGTGTGAGAGGGACGGATGCTTCGGGGCTTCCCTGAAAATGTGACATTTACACTAGAGCTTGAAAACAAAAACTTGTACAAAAAAATTAAAATAATCACAATTTACTACATGACTTGTCTGTTAATAGTCATAATAAAGTTAAGATTTAAATATTGATCTAACCAACATTATACTATATTGGGAGGCCAGGGGGCTGAGAAGGATTCACATACGTGGTAAGGATGAAGAAGATCAAAAATAGCAAAATCCTTATCTTTCATCTGGGAAGTGAAGAGATAATGCAAAGGGGAAGAAAAAGGAAAAATCAGAATGACAATGGAATCATGTTAATTTAGAAATACAGAAATACTGAAAGAATCAGCCAAAAGAGTTCGAAAGTAGTTGCCCCCCACCTTGGCGCAAATGTTTCTTTTAAACATTTGCTAATTTTCTGTTTACTTATCACTAAATCAACCCTAGGTACACCAGAATTTCCACTAGATTGTAAGATTCATGGCCTGGTGCAATGGCTCACTCCTGTAATCCCAGAGACTTGGGAGGCTGAGGTGGGGGGATCATTGAAGCCCGGGAGTTCGAGACCAGCTTGGCCAACATGGCAAGACTCCCACTTCTAAAAAAAAAAAAATGAAAAAATGTTAACCGGGCATGCGGTACATACTGTAGTCTACTTGGGAGGTTGAGGTGAAAGGATCTCTTGAGCCCAGGAGTTCAAGGCTGCTGTGAGCTATGATCATGCCACTTCACTCCAGCCTGGGGAACAGAGCGAGACCCTGTCTCTAAAGAAAAATCTACTTCATTATCCATTTATTATTTCAAGAAAATAATACAAAGAGATCCCTGAAACAGTGCTTTTTGTGTTTGTATGCTGTTTTTCCCCCAACACCTAGAATAGTGCCTGACATATAAAAGGTGCTCAGTAAGTCATTGCTGAATAAATAATGCACGCTTTCTGTAAACTGCCTACATGTCACCTCTAGACATCTAGACACATAACTTACTCTATCTACTTCCTTTTCTTGGACATCTTTTCCAGAGCCTTTTGACCTATTACAGGGGTCAAAAGTAAGGTTGCCCTTACTTATGGTCCAAAATTGTCTTCCTGGGATCTCCTACCTCCATTATCCTAAAGATTGTCTTTTCCTCTTTCTTCTTATTGAGATTTAAAAAAAAAAAAAAAAATCTGTTCTCTTCTTCCATACTTCTAGATAGGTTGCCCAGTGAAGAACTACATTTCCCAGGTATAGAGATATAGCTGAGGTTGGTTGCCCAGTGAGGGACCACATTTCCCAGCCTTCTTTGCAGCTAGGTAGGGCTGTGTGATTAGGTTCTTACCAATGAACTGTGAATGAGTGAGATGTCTGGAACGTCTACT